ATATTTATGACAAGTCAAATATAATAGCATTTGACATTGACAAGTACAATATTCAAGTGTCATGTATACAAAAGGAGAGCACAAAGAATTTATCATCATGATCATAGATAGCAGAGTTCAAAATAAAGACACACTCATTAAAAGTAGAACATGTATTTTCAAATGTAACTGTGTATGTTTGAAATGTTGTAACTTTGTCATCTGTTGAGATATAAAGACAGATAAGGTACTTCAAGAAAGAAGAGTCAATGAGCTAAACACTATTACTAATATTAGATATATTAGTGCCATGTTTAGTGAAAATTTGAATATTTATTGTAACTTCCTGTTTTCTTAATTAACACTTTCAGTTTTACAAGCAACCAACTATTTTTTTCCCATAAATATGGTCAGGAAACAAGCTCTAAAACCTTGTCTTGTGCATCTATATTTTTGTTTGTTTGACCTGATTAATCACAATGACCTATATTCATAAACTGTTATCACAGAGATATGTCTCGCCTTTTTGTAATTTTGATAATGCAAATGTTGAAATTAAAACAGCAATACTTTAACATGTAAGTTATGCAAATATTCAAATTCAATGAACCATGACTGAAGGTACATGGCTAAACAATCTCCATGGAAATGAGATGTACCAATGCTAATACAACTGCATACCAAATACCATTGACTTATTATAAGTTGTTCCCTTTAAACAAACCCTAACATTAACTTGTAAACTATGTAAAAGTTTCAAAGTCAATAAACCATGATGAGGGGGTGGGGCTATAAAATTTCCATGGAAAAGGTACTTGCATATAAATGTGGTCAAAGATTTTACAAATCTAATGCGCCATACTGTGCAATTAAAGATTACTTCTTGAAATTTTTCAATATTTGAAATTTGAAAAAAAATAATATTTGAAGAATAATTCTTTTTAATTTCTGAAATCTGAAATGAGAAAAAATTGACCCCCCCACAATTTTTTTTTACCCCCCCCACCCCCTTTTTTTCCCCCAAAATATTCTTTCCCTCAAGATATGGTCATAATCTCAATTCAAATTTCCAATGGAGTTTGCAACCATAATTACCCATTTAAATTTACCATAGTGCTAACTTAATCTATTTTATAATAGAATTTAAAATATAGTGTCAGATCTTTCATATGGATTTTTTTGTAAATAAAAAAGATGTAACATTTGCAGATATTTTTACTGGTCTTCCTTTATAAATATATATGCATTTCTTTAAACATAATTTAAAAGCAGTGTAAGGGAAGTAGCCAAACGTTGTATTTGGATTACCTCCCTTACACTGTTTTAAATTATCTTAATTGTTCATTAACCATTACTTGATACATAATTTAAAAGCAGTGTAAGGGAGGTAATTTCAATGATGTATTTGATTTATCTCCCTTACACTGCTTTAAATTATGTTTTGTACTAAAGTATTTGTCCATTAACCAGGACAACCTTGTTTTTCCCCCTTTTTTGCCCCTAATTCCTAAACGGTTTGAGCCATGACCCCCTTCCCCCCCAAAGCAAATCCTAACCATCCCTTTGTGGTATGGAAACTTGAAGTATAATTTCAGAGAGATCCATACACCATTCCACAGTTATTGTCTGGAAACTAGAAAATGCTTATTTTTGGCCCCTTTTTGGCCCCTAATTCCTTAACCCCCAAAATCAATCCCAACCTTCCTTTTGTGGTATTTAACCTTATAGTAAAATTTCAAAGAGATCCATTCACTTAAACTAAAGTTAGAGTGCGAAAACCAATGTGTCTTCGGACGACGACGACGCCAACGTCATACCAATATACGACCACAAAAATTTGTTGCGGTCGTATAAAAATGAAAAATTTAGCAATTTTTCCATTTGTAAAGGGGCATAACTCTAGAACAGTAAAAGTGACGCCACCAAAATTCAAAATTGATCTGTGTTTTGTGGTAATAAGCATTGTGTATAAGTTTGATAACATTTGGTTGAGGCAAACTAAAGACGAACAAAGGTAAAACTAAATGCCCCCTCCACTTAGGCGGGGGCATAGCGGGGGCATAAAAATCTTGGCAGACCTTAACATAATTTTGGTTAGCCCAAACAATTTAAATTCATTCTACACAAAAGGATCAATTCAGATGACCTACAAGCGTAATCCTTTAAAATGACTTTTTCTGTAAAAATCTAATTAAAATGAGGGAGAATGAGATACCAGGGAACAAGCACAAATCAAAAGTTGAAAAAAACTTAGACAACACCATGGCAAAAAAGAGTAAAGACAAACTTAAGTCCACAAAACAATACACAGAAAACAGTACATGAATTACTTGTAGTAGAAATGAAATCTTTTTTTGTTCTTAGAAATGTGAATCCACTAACAAAAGTCCTTATATAATTGTTCTAAAATTGTAAGTTGTTCTATCTGAGTATAAATAAAATTAGACTGAGATTTGCTATCTGTTATAGATAGAAATAAGAAGATGTGGTATGAGTGCCAATGAGACAACTCTCCATCCAAGTCACAATGTGTAAAAAATAAACAATTATAGGTCAAAGTACGGCCTTCAACACGAAGCCTTGGCTCACACAGCAAGCTATAAAGGGCCCCAAAATGACTAGTGTAAAACAATTCAAACAGGAAAACCAACGGTCGAATCTGTATAAAAAATGAGAAACTAGAAACACTTAAGAACCACATCAACAAATGACAACCACTGATACAGGTTCCTAACTTAGGCAGTGACTTAACTCCATCAAAAAGACATATTAACAAACACAAGTAAACATACACTGTCATGGTAAAATCAAATCAATATCTGGACTGACGGATGGACAGACAGACGGAGTGCAAACCTATAGTCTCCTTCGACTTTGTCTTTAGGGGACTAACAATTGAAACATCATAGTTGGAACCTCATATCAAAGTCTGAGATATTGGGAAACTCATGTTGATGGTCCTATTTGCTTCATTTATGCCATTTTGTCATTATATATTTGACTTCACTAGATTAGATGTGATTACTTTACCAATTCAACAATTAATTAATTCATTGAAAAGAATTAACAAATTCATTTAGTTTTGACCTTGACAAGTCAGCGGAAGTTGTGTTTGACTTTGAAATTATGCTGACTTTATAATCCGGCATGGGTGTCTCAAATAAATTTTACACCTTAAATTGTGAGTCATGAACACTGAAGTTCAGTTAACGATCAATTTTAGTTTTTGTAAAATGCAGGCCTGACCTCTTAACATCAAACTCTAAGAATTTTAAGTTCAGAATTTGACAAGAACTGTAAAAAAAAAAAAAGAAGAGTATAGTAAACAAAATGTTGGACTGAAAACTTTAAAAGTTTTGTAATTCAATTGATTAGATTCATTGGCTAAATTGGAACAAAAAAATAAATTACAAACATAAAAAATATGATATAAAGATATATTAAATATTCAAACAGACTAATAGTTGTTTTTTTCTCTTTGAAACTGCAAAATGCAATTACAACTGAATGCATCTTTTAAAATTGTAATAAATGCACATTTCATGCTTCATGCCACATGTAGAAAATACAGACAATGATTTACAGCTAAGTGAAATTATAAAAAGAATCTTTCAAATCAATATTTAATATAAAATGAATGTCAATTAAACAACTGTCCTACATATTTTTATTTAAGTATAAAGATTGCGTAGTTTAAAGTCACAAACGAAAACAAAATAAAACCTTGACACAATTAAAAACCCTTGAATTTGATAAAAATAACAATCTTACAGGACCTTACCTATTACATAATACTGACATACTCTGACTGGTGTTGGGAACTGTTAAATTAGGAATATTTTTAACCATACATCAAACACACTTGTCATGTTTGTACTGAAATTAGTAACTGTTATGCATGTCATTTCATATCTTAGTAGGTTAAATTCAAAAGTTTCATTCAATAGCGACTTACAGAATCTTAACGATTCTCTGGGAATACTGTAGATATTCAAAAGAAACTTTTACCATTTTGCGCGTTTGGTTTCCAATGCCCTTAGGAAACTAAATATACTTGAAAAGGACAAAAAATTATCCTTAACTATGAGTCTGATTACCTTTATAGATACCAGTCACTTGCTTTCTATAACTAAGGGTAATAAAAAGCAAGGCATAAAACAAGAGGGAACACAGGAACCTGAATAGCCCCATCAATTTTAAAAGGCTCCTTGGATTTCAATGGTATAGAGGCACCTTAAAATACAACTACACATATATTTTTATTCATAATTCAGGAATAATGAATATGGAAGAGCAAATGGGAATAAAATTTTGAAAAATTGGGTTGGCAGATGCCTAAACCAAAAATTAATAAAACCCTTGCATAATTTAACTACCGCTAATTCTTTTTTGTCCAAATTTCTATCTCCAATTGAGATGGCAATCATCATGATCATATGTTAATTTCTGCTGGTTTATAAAACACATTTAAAGGGGATCACGTGAACAAGATGTATCATTTCACAAAAGTTTGGTATTAGTCAGCCCATTTCAAAATGTTCTAAATTTTGTCCGAAGGTAGCCATTTGTAGTCAGGGTTATTTCTGTTAGATTCAACATTAGTCTTGTATTAGATGGTTGATATATCACTTCTCATAATATTTACTGTTTTTTATTTTGCATAGGATTTCAATTTCATTCATTCATTTTTTTTAAATTGACAGTCATCCACCCCCATAGGACAAGCTCTTCACTGTCTCTTAAACTGAAAAATCCTTAACAAATACAATTCTAGAACTGAGATACATGGGTTGTTTGTTGCTTCACATAAAGGGACTGACTGGTTGGTATAATTAACTTTTTACCATTTGACTGTGTTAATGAGATTCAGAAATGTAACTCATGCCCATGAGAAATTCATTAGTTCATTCCATTGGGTCTTTGGAATTCTTTTGGAAATTTTCAATAAACACCTTCTAAACATTTATTGATTCTATCATGCCACCAACATCCACTCAAAAAAACTAAAAAGTCTTACTTACCTAAATTTGTAATACATCGGTCCAATCCCTGTACTATCTAATTATACATATGGTCTGCAAAATACAATTAACAACATCAATACGCAATTAATAATTCATAATCAATGTCTTGGCAAAATCACAACCACTTGATTGAAACAAGGAGGTATATTAGTTATAAATCCTTGATTGGAACTAATAACAAAACATTTAAACCATGTGTAACCTTGAACCCAATATTAATTATTCAACCATTGATAAAATTATATGTATTGACATTTTATCCAATCCTGATTCTTATTGGTGTATTGGAAAATTGTCCTTAAATTAGGTCATTGTTGTACTTATATTAGGCCACAGTATTGATCTTATCCTTTGTTTCAAAACATGTTTATTTACTTGTGTACAGTACTGTAAATATTTACAACTGAAAGGTAGCACAAGTTTTCTCAATGTTTATCTTAACATGCTTAAATTGTAAATGGTAGTTATTTACAAATGTTTGTCATTGCATACATGTATGATACTGTACTATATATAGAGAAGTATTATCACCAGTAACAGGAGACATTGGTCAAAATTTTTTTTTTTAATTTTTCTATAAAATTTAGCAAATAATAATTCTGTCAGCCATTTAACATTCCTCTACTGAAATGTTCAAGAGAATATTACAATAGACTATTTTCATATTACCAACTTTTGACTCGGAATTATATAATTTTTCAACAGGTTACCTATTCTTTAGTAGGACATCCTGGTACTCGGTCAAGTAAGAGCTACTTAAAGAAGAAAAATCAAGCTTGCAATTGGTGCATTAATTTGTGGAAAAAATAATTGTTTTGTTATCTATACACGCTAAAATAATCTGAAAACAGTAAACTTTGCCCCTAAATTGCACAGATTATATGTTTGATTTGTCCTACCACAGAATAGGTAACCTGTAGAAAATTATATAACCTTGAGTCAAAAGTTGGTAATATGAAAAAAAGTATATTGCATGGATTTTGCTGGCCTTCTTGGACTAATCATGCTAATAAAAGTGAGAAATAAATTCAAAATTATGCTGAATTTTCTAAACTATTTTACTGAACTATCAACTTACTGCATTTTTTTTATTCCCAAACATCTGAATAACCTAATTTGGCATTAAACTTTAGGAAAGACATTAAAGAATCATTCCAAAAACACCTTAATAAAGACCAGGATCAGGCCATAAAAAAGAATAGGGTGGTTTGCCCTAACCCGACCGACCCATAAAAAAGCACCAGAGTCAAAATCTTTTTTTTTCTTCAAAATGCGTGATGTTTTTATTTTTGCGGAGTTTTGTCGTGAGTTTGTTGCATAGAATAACCTGATCCGATCTGACCTCGCTTTATCACAGGACAATTTGTGTTATGTATTAAAGCCTCCAATTGATATGGATGAACTAGAGGCTCTAAAGAGCCTGTGTCGCTCACCTTGGTCTATGTGCATATTAAACAAAGGACACAGATGGATTCATGACAAAATTGTGTTTTGGTGATGGTGATGTGTTTGTAGATCTTACTTTACTGAACATTCTTGCTCCTTACTATTTTCTATATCTATAATGAACTTGGCCCGGTAGTTACAGTGGAAAATATTTTGTAATAAAATGCTCCGCTGGGGCGCAGCTTGATACGACCGCAGAGGTCGAACCCTGAACAGTTGGGGCAAGTATGGACACAACATTCAAGCTTGATACAGCACTGAATTTGGATTGTAATTAAATATTTGACACAGCATAGGTTTCTGACACAGAATGAAAGTGGTCTAAGAACTTAAAAATTTTCAATTTACCTATTCATACATGTGATGGACTGTGAAACTCAGATCAGGAGATTGGGAAATTTTGGTCAGGAGATTAGGACTCAGATCAGGAGGTTTTTAATCGACATTAATTTTGTTGTAAATGTAACCGTGTGCTGTAAAAATGGTCTTTTAAAGTGTGTTTTCTTCAACTTTCCATCCAATTTATTATGTTTATAGTACCCTTGTACTTATAAAGTTTCTCCATCTTTATATTCTACATGTTCAATCTAACATTGTATTTTTCCAGTATGTTCTTTAAATTTTTTACTTCATATTCTATAAAACAATCATTGCAACCAGAACATTTGTTTAGCTATCTGCAAATAGTTTTTATTTTTTTTTTTTCTCTTGCAAATAGTTTTTATTAGCAAACTCAGAAAATCATTTTATCTGTAAAATTAGAGTCATAGTTATTATATAAATTTCAATTTAAGCCTTGAAAGGAAGTCTAGAATCCTCAAATAATTTTCAAATTATTATTTTTTTATTTGTCCTAAGACATTTAAAATCATTTAATAACCATCCTTTTATGATTATTTGTTCAATTTATATTTTATTTATATTCTTTTAAAAATTTTCATTATTAAAAGGAAAGTAACTTAAAACAGGATAAATCAAGGGAAGTAACCCAATAAATACACAGTTTTTGTTACACAACGGCAGTTAGCCTGAGGTAAAAATCGTTGATTACCTGTATGTTTGACACCCAAGCTGACAAGTGAAGCCATATAATTATGCATGTTAATTGATTTACAGGTAAAATATAACTTCAGGTAATGTCAGTTACACCAGATGCCTGAGATGATATGTTGGGCAGAAATTTTTCATACATGAAAAATTTCATACACGGGATTTTTTCCTCTTCAACGGGAGGTCGGGAGGAGACCCCTGAAAACGGGATTATTGTACTCCCGTCGGGAGGTTCACATGTATGCCTATTCAAACCATATCATTATTATTTGCTTTTATATATAAATCAGAAATAACCAATTTAAAATGGAAAATGTTAAAGAAAAAAAAGGAAAAAAAAATCCCCCCCCCAATTTTTTGAACCCCCTTATGATTCATCACCCCCAAACTCAATCCCAGCTTTCCCTTTGTGGTATGGTACCTTGCAGTACAATTTCAGAGAGATTCATACACTTGAACACAAGTTATTGTCTGGAAACTAGAAAAATGCTTGTTTTTTGGCCCCTTTTTGGCCCCAAATTCCTAAACATTTAGGGCAATTACCCCCAAACTCAATTCCAGCTTTCCCTTTGTGATATGGAACCTTGCAGTACAATTTCATAAAGATCCATACACTTACACACAAGTTATTGTCCTGAAACTAGAAAAATGCATGTTTTTTTTGCCCTTTTATGGCCCCTAATTACTAAAATTTTGAGGCAATTAACCCCAAAATCAATCCCAGCCTTCACTTTGTGATATGGAACCTTGTAGTACAATTTCATAAAGATCCATACACTTACAAACAAGTTATTGTCATGAAACTAGAAAAATGCTTGTTTTTTGCCCCTTTTTGGCCCCTAATTCCTAAAATTTGGAGGAAATTACCCCAAAAATCAATCCCAGTATTCCTTTTGTGATATGGAACCTTGTAGTACAATTTCATAAAGATCCATACACTTACAAACAAGATATTGTCATGGTCGTATAAAAATGCTTGTTTTTTGCCCCTTTTTGGCCCCCAATTCCTAAAATTTGGAGGCAATTACCCCCAAAATCAATCCCAGCATTCCCTTTGTGATATGGAACCTTGTGGTACAATGTCAGAGAGATCCATACACTTACACACAAGTTATGTCTGGAAGTTACAAAAATGCTTATTTTTGGCCCCTTTTGGCCCCTAATTCCTTAACTGTTAGTACCATAACCCCCAAAATCAATCCCCACCTTCCTTTTGTGGTATTGAACCTTATGGTAAAATTTCATTGAGATCCATTTACTTAAACTAAAGTTAGAGTGCGAAAACTAATGTGTATTCGGACGACGACGCCGCCGGATGACGACGACGACGACGCCAACGTCATACCAATATACGACCACAAAAATTTTTTTGCGGTCGTATAAAAATTTACAAAAATTCATAAAATTTATGAAAATTGTAAAAAATTGACTATAAAGGGCAATAACTCCTTAAGGGGTCCATTGACAATTTTGGTCATGTTGATTTATTTGTAGATCTAACTTTGCTATTTACAGTTTATCTCTATCTATAATAATATTCAAGATAATAACCAAAAGCTGCAAAATTTTCTTAAAATTACCAATTCAGGGGCAGCAACCCAACAACGTGTTGTCTGATTGGTCTGAAAATTTCAGGGCAGATAGATCTTGACCTAATGAACAATTTTATCCTCATCAGATTTGCTCTAAATGCTTTGGTTTCAGAGATATGAGCCAAAAACTGCATTTTACCATATGTACTATTTTTTAGCCATGTTGACCATCTTGGTTCGCAGACGGGGTCATCGGACACATTTTTTAAACTAGATACCCTAATGATGATTGTGGACAATTTGGTTAAATTTGTCTTAGTAGTTTCAGAGGAGAAGATTTTGGTAAAAGATTACAAAAATTTACGAAAAATTGTTAAAAATTGACTATAAAGGGCAATAACTCCTTAAGTGGTCAACTGACCATTTCGGTCAAGTTGACTTATTTGTAGATCTTACTTTGCTGAATATTATTGCTGTTTACAGTTTATCTCTATCTATAATAATATTCAAGATAATAACCAAAAACTGCAAAATTTCCTTAAAATTACCAATTCAGGGGCAGCAACCCAACAACGGGTTGTCCGATTCATCTGAAAATTTCAGGGCAGATAGATCTTGACCTGATAAACAATTTTACTTCATGTCAGATTTGCTCTAAATGCTTTGGTTTCAGAGATATAAGCCAAAATCTACATTTCACCCCTATGTTCTATTTTTAGCCATGGCGGCCATCTTGGTTGGTTGGCCAGGTCACCGGACACATTTTTTAAACTAGATACCCCAATTATGATTGTGGCCAAGTTTGGTCAAATTTGGCCCAGTAGTTTCAGAGGAGAAGATTTTTGTAAAAGTTAACGACGACGACGGACGACGGACACCAAGTGATGAGAAAAGCTCACTTGGCCCTTTGGGCCAGGTGAGCTAAAAACATGTTACCGTCTAGTACAAATAAAGGTTGGATTAAAATCAAAACCCGTAGTTTCCAACAAATTCTATCGTTTTGAAAACGCTAAAACATGGAAAGAGGTGTTTGATAAAGTGTGTGATGATGATTTCATGCTACGGAAAACTGATGAAATTTGTGCGACTGTCTCTGACCGATCGGGACACTCGTTTGAGCTCGATTTTGAGGAACCAATCCAAGTTGTTCAGGAATTTG